TAATGACTCATAGTGACCTTATGCCCAATAGAACGAAACACACTGCCCAGTCCTCCGCTAACCTCACAATCAGTGCTATAACTTGAGCCCATTGTTGCTGCCATTGTGCCAGTCTACCTCATTGGTTTTCCTTTTTTTCGCTACCCCTCCACTTTACTAAGTATGATGTCTTTCTCCAGGGACTGCTCGGTCCTGATGTTATATGTCCGAAGTATGAAAGATGAAGTCTAGCCATCTAGCTTCTAAGGAGCATTCTGACTGCACTTCTTCCAGCACAGATTTATTTGTTCTTCTGGCTGTCCTGTCTTTGGTACTTTTAATAATTCTCCTTCAGTACCGTAACTCAAATGTACCAGTTCTTCTAAGGTCTTCTTTATTCATTGTCCACCTTTCACATGTATATGAGGTTACTGAAATTACCTCCCTTGACTTTGGTCAGGTGCACATTAGTCCTAAAACTCACATCTTTACTCTTGAATACTTTGAAGAGGTCTTGTGCAGCAAATTTGTGTAATTGCAGTACCTTATTTGATTTCTTGACTGCTGCTTCCATGAGTGTTGATGGTTGATCTGAGCAAAATGAAGTCTTTGACAACTTCAATCTTTTCTTCATTTATATGGATGTTATTTATTGGTCCAGTGGTGGGGATTTTTGTTTTCTTTACTTTGAGGTGTAATTCATATAGAAGGCTGTGGTCTTTGATCTTCATCAGTATTTTAAGACCTTTCCGCTTTCAGCAAGCAAGGTTGTATCATCTGCACCTTGTAGATTGTTACTGAGTCTTCTTCTGATGCCCCTGTTCTTCATGTATTCCAGCTTCTCGAATTATTTACTCAGCATGCAGATTGATTGAATATGGTGAAAGAATGCAATCCTGGTGCACACCTTTCCTAATTTTAAACTATTCTGTGTTCCCTTGTTCTGTTCGAACTGTCTCTTGATCTATGTACAGGTTCCTTATGGGCACGGTTAAGTATTCCGGAATACTCATTGTCTGCAGTGTTGTCCAGAGCTTGTCATAATTCACACAATTGAATGCCTTTGTGTAGTAAATAAAGCACAGGTAAACATCTTTCTGGTATTTTGGGCGTTTAGCCAAGATCCATCTAATGTCAATAGTGGTAGTCCTCATTCCACGTCCTCTTCTGGCAGTTCCCTATCAATGTACTGCTGCATCTGTTTTTAGCCAGATTTTACTTGCATGTGATATTAATGAGATTATTCACTGACTTTTGCATTCTGTTGGGTCACTCTCTTTGGAATGGGCACAAATATGGATCTCTTACAATCAAGTTTGCCAGTTGGCTGTCTTCCAGATTTCTTGACATAGACGAGTGAATGCCTCCAGTGTTACATCACTTTGTTGAAAGATTTCAATTTGTATTCCATCAATTCCCAGAGCCTTGTTCTTTGTCAGTGCCTTCAGTGCACCTTGGACTTTTTCCTTTAGTATCGTTGCCTCTTGATCATTTGCTAAAGCAAATGGAGGAAATGAGGAGGAAAAGAGCTGAATATAAAATTTCAAAGGGCAGCTTGACAAGACAAAGTCAAATAATACAACAAATGTGCAAAGATCTGGATTTAGAAAACCAAAAGGGAGTAACACGCTCAGCATTTCTCAAGCTGGGGGAACTGAAGAAAAAATTTCAAGCCTCGACTTTTGTTATTGAAGCATTGATTCTATGGGGATAATATTGAACGATGCAGAAAGCATCAAAAGAAGATGGAAAGAATACAGAGTCACTGTACCAAAAAGAAATGGTCACTGTTCAACCATTTTAAGAGGTCTCATAGTTAATGCTTAATAATAGTTGTTGTTTACAATTATTAAAAATAATTTAAAAGGTAATTATTATTTGATGAGTTGAACAGTTTTCATCCTCTAAGAACAAAACATAATTGTCCTTTACATTTTTTT